CAGGGAAATAAAATGTATAGCTTTAAAATGCATTCAGACTTAAAGCTGTTGTCAACATAAAAGAAATGGTTACAAATCTAAGCTTTTAAGCGTTAACCTCCTTGGGGCACCTGGGGTAGCTCAGTTAGGTGTCCGACTCTTGACTTTGGCTCAGGTCACGATCTCACGGTCATGGAGATTAAGCCCCATGTCAGGCTCTGTGCTGAGCATGGAGCCTGCTTGGGATTCTCTCTCTGCCCCTCCCCTGCTCGTGTACATGCTCTCTCCTTCTCAAAATAAATAAATTAAAAAAAAAAAATAGATGTAAACCTCATGGTAACCACTAAGCAAAAACCTACAGTAGATACATAAAGGAGTTTAAGCATACCACTATGGAAAATCATCAAATCACAAAGGAAGACAGAAGAGAAGAAAGTAACAGAGAAACTAAAAAACAGCCAGAAAATTAAGTCGCAAAAGGCAATAAGTACATACCTAATAATAATTAATCTACATGCAAACAGATTAAATTCTCAATACATAGAGTGACAGAAAGAAAAAAATAAGACCCATCTATATGCTGCCTAGAAGAGGCTCACTTCAGAAGTAAAGACACAAAGGCTGAAAATAAAGGGATCGCAAAAGATATTCCATTCAGTGGAAACCAAAAGAAATCTGGGGTAGCTATACTTATATCAGACAACAAAGACTTGAAGACACAGACTGTACTAAGAGGCAAAATCATTAAATAATCATAAAAGGTCACTCTAACAAGAGAATATAACATTTGTAAATATTTATGAACCCAACACAGAGGTACCCAAATACATAAAGCAAATATTAAGACCTGAAGGGGACTTTAATATCGCACTTTCACCAATGGATAGATCAGCTACTCAGAAAATCATGAGGATGGACTTAACAAACGTATATATAACATTTCATCCAAAGCAATACACATTGTTCTAAAGTGAATATGGAACAGTCTCCAAAATAAATCATATATTAGGCCACAAAACAAGTTTGAAAAAATGTAAGACTGAAATCACATCAAGCATTTTTTTGACCACAATGGTATGAAACTACAATCATTTATAAGAATAAAACCTGAAAATTCACAAATATGTGGAGATTAAGCAACATGCTATAATACAACCAATGGGTCAAAGAAGAAACCACAAGGTAAATAAAAAAATACCTTGAGACAAAAGAAAATGGAAATACAAAGTAACAAAACATTTGGAATGAAGCAAAGCAGTTCTAAGAGTGAAGTTAATATCAATAAGTGACTACTTCAAGAAACAAAAATAACAAAAAAACTAATGTCATTAACTCAAGGGGCCAGTAAAAGAACAAATAAAACCCAAAGTTAGTGAAAAGAAGGAAATAACAAAGACTGGAAATAAATGAAATAGTTTCACTGATCTTTTCTACTCTTTTTTAGTCTCTAAGAGTTGGTCCTTTGAAAAAGATAAAATTGACAAACCTTTATCTAGACTTACCAAGAAAAAAAGAATGAACTCCGATAAAATCAGAAATGAAAAAGAATCCCAACTGATACTACAGAAATAAAGGATCATAATGAGACCACCATAAACAACTATACATCAACACACATGACAACCTAGAATAAATGGATAAAGTGATTGAATCAGTAACCAAAAATCTCCCTACAAAGTCTAGGAGCAGACAGCTTCCTTCCAAACATTCAAATAAAAATACCAATCTTTTTCAAACTTTTCCAAAAAACCAAAGAGGAGGGTACACTTCCAAATTCATTTTACAAGGCCAGCATTACCCTGATACCACAACCAGACAAAAATCCCACAAGAAAAAAAAAATTATAGGCCAATACTGATGATTAATATTAGGATGCCTCCTCTTAGCACTTTTATTCAACAGTCTTGGAAGTCCTAAGCAGGGCAATTAGGCAAGGCAAATAAAAAGGCATCGAAATCAGAAAGAAAGAAGTAAAACTGTCAGTATTTGAAGATGACATGACATTATATAGAAAACCCTAAAGACTACCAAAAAACTATTAAATTCAGTAAAGTTGCAGAACAAAGTTAACATACAAAAAGGTGTTGTGTTTCTGTATACATAATGTTGGAAAGAGAAATCAACAAAATAATCTTATTAACAGTTTCATCAAAAAGATGAAAATAGGGATAAATTTAACAAAGGAGGTGAATAACCTCTAAACTGAAAACTGTAAGACACCAATGAAAGAAACTGAAGACAAAAATAAATGGTAAGACATTCCACATTTATAGACTGGAAAAATTGTTAAAATGTCCATTATTACCAAAGCAATCTACAGATTCAATAAAATTCCTATTAAAATCCTAAATGGCATTTTCCCAAGAAATAAAACAAAAATTCTAAAATTTGTATGGAACCAGAAAATATCCTAAATAGCTAAAGCAGTCTTAAAAAATGTTTCCTAATTTCAAACTATATTACAAAGCTAGCTATAGTAATCAAAATAGTATAGTACTGGTATAAAAATAGACACAGAGTCCTGAGGCACCTGGGTGGCTCAGAGAGGTAAGCATATGACTTTTGATTTTGGCTCTGGTCATGAGCTCATGTTTTGTGGGACTGAGCCCTCCATAGGCTCAGAGTCTGCTTGGGATTCTCTCTCTCTCCCTCTCTCTCTGCCCCTCCCCCACTCATGTTCCCTCCCTTCCGCTCTCTCAAAATAAATAAATATTTAAAAAAATAAAAAATAAAAATAGAGTCCAATGGAACAGAGAGGCCATAAGCAAACCTATCCATATATGGTCAATTTATGATAAAGAAGTCAAGAATATACAATGGGGAAAGGACAGTCTTTTCAAAAAACGCTGTTGGGAAAACTGATAGCCACATGCAAAAAAAAAAAAAAAAAACCCAACCCAACCCAAAACTGGACCACTATCTTTACATCACACATAAACGCACTCAAATGGATTAAAAAGCTGAACATAAGGCCTGAAATCATAAAACTTCTAGAACAAAATAGAGGCAGTGAGCTTCTTGACCTCAGTCTTGGAAACGATTTTTGGGGACAAATACTTAGGAGCAAAGGCAACAAAAGCAAAAGTAACAAGTGGGACTATTTCATACGAAAAATCTGAACAGCAAAGGAAATGGGCAACAAAATGAAAAGGCAACCTACTGAATGGGAAAAAATACTTGTGAATTATATATCTGGATAAGGGGTTAACATCCAAAATTTATAAAGAACTCCTATAACTAAACAGCAAAAAACAAACAATGCAATTAAAAGAAAATGATTAAAGCAACTAAACAGACATTTTTCCAAAGACCTACCTATGGCCAATTTATACATGAAAAGGTGCTCAACAACATTAAACATCAAGAAATGTAAATCAGGGGCACATGGGTGGTGGCTCAGTTGGTTAAGCATGCAAGTCTTGATTTCGGGCTAGAATTTCATAGTCATGAGATCGAACCCCATGTCGGCCTCCTCACTGGGCTTGAAACCTGCTTTAGATTCTCTCTCCCTCTCTTCTGCTCGTCATACCTGACAGTGGCTGAAGGATGGATTATGGGTGTCAAAGGTATAATCTTCCATTTATTTTATATATATATATATATTTTTTTTTTTTTTTTAATTTTCTGAGAGAGAGAGAGCGAGCGAGAGCACATGAGAAGGGGAAGGTCAGAGAGAGAGGGAGACACAGAATCTGAAGCAGGCTCCAGATTCTGAGCTAGCTGTCAGCACAGAGTCTGACGTGGGGCTCGAATCCAAGAACCGTGAGATCATGACCTGAGCTGAAGTCGGATGCTTAACCCTCTGAGCCACCCAGGAGCCCCAGTCTTCCATTTATTATAAGTATGTGTTGGGGGCTGTAATTTATAGCATGATGACTATTAGTTAATACTGTACTTAATATTTGAAATATTAACAGATCTTAAAAGTTCTCATTATAAGAGAAAAAGTTTGTAACTATGTATGGTGACAAATGTTAACTAGACTTATTTTGGTAATCATTTTGCAATATATACAAATAGCTATTCATTGGAGTTAAACCAGCAATTAACACTTAACTGTGATTAAACAGTTTTAGAGTATGTGCAAAATGCTGGAAATGTTTTATCAAATATTGTCTCTAAAAAACTATGGTACAGTGAGGGATTGTATGTACATTTCTTAACTTTCTGACAATATAACCTACTTATAATGAAGTCTATCATGCATGCTCTTTAGGAACACATTTTGTGAAAAAGTAAGATCACACAAGTCAGTCAGAAACACCAAAACAAATAAATGAAAAAATTCTTCATGAAAGAAAGAGTCAAAGGCAATATCATGAAATAGTCAACAGCAAAAAAAAAAAACAAAAACAAAAAAACAGATTAAGTGAAAAAAGATATGGTTATTATAAATTAGTTGTAACTATACATAAAAACCTAAACAGAAAAAAGCTTACAAGATATCAAATATGTAACAGTATCAAAATAAGGCAACATTGTTTTATAAGGGATAGTGGTATAAACTGCCACTTCATGAAGTAATGAGTTTTAGATGATAGCCACCACCCACCCCAAAAAACCACACAAACTATAAATCCTTTATCTTGCACATCAATTAGTAAAGATCAAACAGAAAGTTCAAGGGTTTGTCATTTACTTAGCTGCTCAGCTTTGCAATCAAGCCAGGTTTGCAAATTACATGTTTGGCCAGTTAATTATTATCTCCTATAACTTGTATTTATTCATAAATTTTTAGAAATAGAATGATCAGTCATGTGGAATTTAAGAAGCAAAACAAAGAGGGGTGCCTGGGTGGCTTAGTCGGTTAAGCGTCCGACTTTCGCTTAGGTCATGATCTCGCGGTTCGTGGGTTCGAGCCCCGCATCCGGCTCTGTGCTGACTGCCAGCTCAGAGCCTGGAGCCAATTTCAGAGTCTGTTTCTCCCTCTCTCTCTGACCCTCCCCTGCTCACGCTGTCTCTCTCTCCTAGAAATAAATAAAAAATATTAAAAAAAAAAAATAGAATGATCAAAAACTTACCACATGAGTAGTTTTTAGTGTAATGCCATCAAATCTGCATAAACTGGAGCTCTCTTCAAAGAAAATATCACATTCTTCTAACTCTTGAGCATTACAAGGAGGTTTTTCTTTATCGGGATTTGGATTCTTAGACCAGAAAACAAAATAAACAAACCATTAACAATAAGACAGTGGATTTCTTCATACTTAAAATATCAAGATTATAACAGTAATTAAAAACTAAATTTCAGACCCATGACTGATAAATCCTAGTCAACAAAACCCAGAAATGACAGAGTGATGAAATCACCAGAAAGATATTACAACAGTTTTTTATACTCAAAGATGTACAGAAAAATACATATATGTTGAGAAAGGTATGGAAGATATTTTTAAAAAAGAACCAAACTGAACTTCTAAATATGAAAATACAATATCTGAAGTGGAAAGCAAAAAAGATGGGATTGACAGCTTATTAGACACAGCAGGAGACCTGTGAGCTTGCAACACAGCAAGAGAGTCTATCGAAAATGAAACACAAAGAGGACCAAAAAATAAAAAGAGAACTGAAATGACCAGGGGAACAAATATCAAATGGTCTAACACATGAACAACTAGACAAGGGCAGGGAGAAAGGAAAAAGAATTGAAAGAAATGGTCACTAAATGATGAAAACTGTAACTCTATAAATTGAAGGTCAAAGAAAACATTTAAAAAACCCACTGCAAATCACATTATAATGAAACTGCTGAAAAGTAGTAATGAAGAGAAATCTTAAAAGTAGTCAGAGGAGGAAAAGACACATTATGAACAGATGAACAAAGATACAAATGACAGCCAACTTCTCATCAGAAACTATTCAAGGCAGAAAACAATGGAGTTGTGAAAGGGGGAAAAACCCTATCGACATGGACTTAATATACTTACCAAAAATATTTTTAAAAAGAAGACAACTTAAGTATTTTTACAGCAAACAAATTTTCCCCCTAAACCTACACTACCAGAAATGCTAACAGAAGTTGTTCAGCCAGGAACAAAATGACAACAGTTGGAAATATGAATCAACACAAAGAAACGTAGAACAGAGGAAATGTGTAATATGTGGGTCAAGGTAAGACCCTCCCCCCATATTTTAATCTCTTTAAATTTAAAAAATAACTGACTGATTAAAGTTGAAATAATAATGTGTTACTGAGTTTATAACATGTAAAAATGAAATGTATGATAAGAATACAAAGGATGGGGGCGCCTGGGTGGCTTAGTCGGTTAAGCGTCTGACTTTCGCTTAGGTCATGATCTCGCGGTTTGTGGGTTCGAGCCCCGCGTCGGACTCTGTGCTGACTGCCAGCTCAGAGCCTAGAGCCCATTTCAGAGTCTGTATCTCCCTCTCTCTCTGACCCTCCCCTGCTCACGCTGTCTCTCTCTCCTAGAAATAATAAAAAAAGAATACAAAGGATGAAGAAATGGAAATATATTGTGAAGCTCTTCAATTATAAGTGAAATGATATAATAGTTTTTGAAGAAAGACGGTGATAAATTAAAGACATACAGTGTAAACTCCAGAACAACCACTAAATACACACATACACACATATAAAAACATAAAGGTGTAGCTAATAAGCCAAAAGAAAAGATAAATGGAATCATTAAAGTAATTTTAATATGTTCCATTGTTAAAATGCAAGAAGTGCTGTCTGGCCTTATAACCCTCATAGAGTAAAAGGATCACAATGCTGAAGTGATAATTTGCATATATATATATGCATATAAATTGTGTATATACATATATACAACAGAAATATAATTCTACAATTGACCAAATGTCCACACACCTCATTTGCTGAAATGTAGTCATCTTACTGAAAACTTGATGAAATGACCTGAGAAGTCTCTGAAACTAAATGGCTGGGAGTTACAGAAGTGACAGAAGATCAACCTTGTCTATGTTCCACCTGGGATTTGGAGCTACCTAGTTGAGTCAGCCTAAATTATCAATGGAAAAAATTCTGGTTGCTATGACTGGCTGGGAAGGCAAGGTCAACAATTAGCTGGAGCCATTTGTTCAGTGATTCAAGAATATATACATGTCCAGGAGCACAGAGAAGGCACCCTCTGCACTTCTCCCTCCCTTCCCTTTTCCATTACCTGTATGTTAAAGATTAGAGAGCAAAAATTAAAGTTCAGGACTACTGGTGCACTTGAGTGGCTCAGTCAGTTAAGTCTCCAACTTTGGCTCATGTCATGATCTCACGGTTTGTGGATTTGAGCCCTGGGTCAGGCTCTGTGCCAATGGCTCAGAGCCTGGAGCCTGCTTTAGATTCTGTCTCTGTCTCTCAAAAATAAATAAAATGTCAAAAAAAGAAGTTCAGGACTATCAAGGCAGGCAGAATTAAACAGGGCAAGATTACAGAGAAAGGGGAACAGCAGAGAAGAGAACCCTCTGCCGCTTCTCTATAGGCATTTATTGATTTTCAAGCACAGCTGAAAAAGGTAAGTGGAAAGAAGCAGGCAAGGGACTCAAGAGCTGAATGCTGATATTAATAAAGTGCTTGGGAGACAAAAACTGAAGCTCAGGCTGACACAGGAGAATCCCTGTAAACATCCTAGACTTTCAGTTACGAGTCATGAACAGTTCTGTCCTAGGAGAAAGAACAAGCAAGGAATAAATATCAGCCACATAAAATACTGAAATATAGCACCAAATCAAATCATCCTTAATGGATGCATTAAGGAGGATGCAAGTCAAGTAGTGTTTGGAATGAAGTGTATAGCATTAAATGCTTTCAAAAGAAAAGTAGGTTAAAAAAATCAATCATGTAAACTTTCACTTTTAAAAATAGAGCAAAATAAATTCAAAGTAAGCAAATAGCAGAAAATAATCAATGTAATAACAAAAAATGAAACTGGAAACTGAAAAAAAAAAAAGCCAAAGGAAATAGATGCCCAATATAATCCTGTATTTAATAAAGGAATTAAATTCATGGTTAAAATCTTCCAAAAAAAAAAAAAAAGTCCAGTCCAGTTTCATTGGCAAATTCTGTATTTAAAGAAATAATGCCAAATCTATACAATCTCTTCCAGAAATAGAAAAAGCAGGAAATACTTCCCTATTTATTTTAAGACATCAGCATTACCCAGATACCAAAACTGGGTAATGACAGTAAGACGACAAAACTACTACAGACCAATATTTCTCACAAATATAGATGCAAAACTCCTCAATAATATATTAGCAAACCCACACTGGTAGAACATAAAAGGGATTATACATCATGACTAAGTGAGGTTTATACCACAAATGAAGGGAGTATATTTCACAAAATTCTATATGGCCTTTCATGATTAAAAACTCAGTATAATAGAAGAAAATTTCCTCAACATGACAAAAATAGTCCATACTTAATAGTGAAATATTCAATTATTTTTCCAAGCTTACAAACAAGGCAAAAATGTCTGCTTTCACTATTCACCATTTCTATTTTACAATGGATTAGAAGTTCTAACCAATGCAGAAAGGTAAGAAAAAGTATAAAGATTTGAAAAAACACAAGCCAGCCTTCAGCTGCAGATAACAAGATTCTATGTTTGTTTATTTTCCCCAAACACACTGGTGTTCAGACATAAATAACTTACTCATATATACCAATATTCCCTTGAAATAATCAGGTTTAAAAGGCAGTTAGGAACAATATCTATAAAATCATAACAAACCCCACTATCACTATACATCCCAGAGCCCTTATCACAATAAATGCTTGCTGAATGAATGAATATAGGGCAATGTAGTCTGCATGGGCTTACTGTAACACCAGGGCTATGAAATCAAAGTTTCATAGTCTTACAAAAAAGTTCCAGAGATCCTGAATTTGTGGTAGGGACAGAGAGAGGGGGGACTGAGGATCTGAAGCAGACTCTGCATGGACAGCAGTGAGCCCGATGTGGGGCTTGAGCTCATGAACCACGAGATCATGACCTGAGCCGAGGTAGGGCACTCAAGTGACTGAGCAACCCAGGTGCCCCCTGAAATTTTTAATTATTGCTAGTAGATGTGAAACTTGATTTCTCCATTTTGGCCATGTTTTCTTTTGATAGAAACATTTACCTTCAATATTCTGATTTCCTTTCCACTTTAGGATATAATTAACCCTATATTATAAACTACCTCCTAACAGTTTTTTTCTCATTATTCTAATTCCAGATGGCAATAAGTCAGACATTTTACATGTACTGATATCATTTTTGGTGACTAAACATGTCACCAAAACATGGTGACTAAGATTCTGTTATAATGCTTTATTCAATTTTAAACAATTTTTCTTTAATGTTTGTTTATTTTTGAGAAAGAAAAAGAGCAAGAGCATGGAAAAGGCAGAGAGAGAGAGGGACCCACAGAATCTGAAGCATGTTCCAGGCTCTGGGCTGTCAGCACAAAGCCCAACGCAGGGCTTAAACCCGTGAACTGCAAGATCCTGACCTGAGAGCTGAAGTCAGACGATAACCAACTGAGCCACCCAGGTGCCCCTGCTTATTCAAATTTTTAACATTATCTTAAAAGTCATCAGACTGGAAAATATTCAACAAAATCTCACAAATGAATGAGTAGTGTATTATCACTTAATCATTATAATGAATTACTTTGTCAATCATAATTAACTGTGGTATATATACCTCTTGTGATATTCTAAGATATTCTAGAAAATTTCAATGATGACAAGTAGATTATTAGCATTGGTAGCCAGTAAAATCCTAATTTTGTCCTTGCCAATATCAGTCTATTGATTCTACTAAAGGAGAATATCTATGTGTCTATGTGTGTGTATACATATACATGTTTATACAGATATACATGCAATCCACCTTATACAACAATCCCACACACATATATATATTCACATAGTGTAAGGAATAAATATTAGAATTTTAAGCTACATTCAAACAATAGTCTGTAGTGCCTAATCTGTATCTCTAACATTAGGAAATGTAAAATAATGTTTGAGAAACCTGGTACAATCCTCACATAACATTATTCTGGGCCTTTGGAAAGTCACCCTACTATTGCAATTGCTTACCAGTTCTTCAGAGGTCAAGTGCATCAAACGTTCAGCTATTGCAGCACACTGGGCTGAGTCTCTTATAAACTCTCCTTGTTTATCACCGACCACTAGCTCTGGCCATGTTAGTCCTTCATTCTTTTTAGTCAAGAAAATCTCCAAGCTAGAAGTTAAAGGAGAAAAGTAATATGATACTTGTAACATGCTTAATGTTACATTAAGCAACTACACAAATTATATAACCAATAGGAAACAAAAGAATCTTCCACTGAATCTACACCACCCTGGTGTCCAGAAGATGTATTACCAAAACCTGTGTTCATTTTGGTACTGCATATGCTGGAAAATCTATAACCCAAGGGTAATAATTTGTCCTTCCTAAACAATCAATAAAGTGCCGCTGGAAACGGCATGCCAAATGGCTTCATGAGAAGAGCGGCAAGAGTAATGCTGTTGTAGTCCAGGTGTGCAGTATGCTACCGAAAGAGACAGAAACGCAAGCAGCAAGAATCTGAGAGATTTTACTAGGGAATGGTGATGGCAGTAAGGCCGGTGGTTGAGGCAGGCATATAATATTAATTGGACAGAGACTGTAACTAAATGTACTTTTTTGTATGTGAAGCCAATAATTAGCTTCATTTTCCCAAACTAGTAGCCATAATATATACTAATGTAAACACCAGGCAGGTTAGATCACTACAAATATTAATTCTTAAAATACAGATTTTAAAGAACTGAAAAGAAAGTAGAAATTAGAAAGTAATTAACTTTGGTAACATAAGGGAAAAAAAGTTGTTAATGTCTTCTTATCAACTGAAAATCTAATTCTGTACATTTAAGCCACTGAACAAATTCCAAACACACTAAAAAGGCCTATCCAGGAATATGGAGATTAAGGTCTGATGCAGCAGGAAAGAGAGAGAGAGCTGAGTCAGGGAAGACCGTGGACACAGGAGCATAGAGGCTTGCCCACATGTCTCTCGAACAGGAAGGGAAATTCAAGTAAGCTGCTTTAGGCGTAGCCGTTGCCAGAACACAGAGAAAAGCAGGGTGGTGGTAGCTGTTCCCAAGGAACGCACCCTTTCCCATGTGCCACCTCTGGTACACGTGTGCTATACTAACCCATGCCCTGGGACCCAACTGCAAGGATATAATTGCAAGGACACAATAATAACTGTTATCATAATTATCAAACAGAACATGCACGCTTATCAGTCATTCTTTTTCAAGGCTGTTATTATCATCACCTCATCAATTAATTATGGCACTTTAACTTTTTCTGAAACTTTAGGAGACTATACAAAATATCTTTTCTATGTAATGAGTTCCTATCATTAGCATTAAAAATTACCACCATAACCTACTCTCTAAAAGAAAGCTCATCTTGAAAAGGATGATGATGATGAAGATAATAATCATGACAGCAACTACTCATACTTATCTAATGCTTCCCATATGCTAGGTGCTGTCTTTAAGCATCCCACATGTTTTAACTCACTGCTTGCTCACCACAACCAAATAAAGTACTATTTTCATCTTCATTTTACAAAGTAAGAAAAGAAAAGCACTGAGAAGTTAAGTAACTTGCCAAGGTTAGTGGCAAGCTAGTGAAGCAGTCTGGCTCTAAGTCCATGTTCTTCAATACTACTTTAATCAATCCTGTTTATCACATCACTGTCTTGTATTGCAGAGCATTCCATTGTGTGCATTTAACACCACTGTGTTTTTATCCTTCACCTTTTCATGAACATCTGAATTGTTTTCAGTTTGAGTTTTTTACGAATAGAGTTGCTATAAATATACTTGAGGGGGTCTTTTATTTTTTTTAACATGCATTTTCATTTCTCTTGAGTAAATATCTAGTGGAATTTTGGGGTTACAAAGTGGGTATATATATATATGCTTAGCCTAAGAAACTACTAAACAGTTTGCCAGAGTGACCATCATTTTTCCCTCCCACCGGCAATGGACATGCTCCACATTCTTGTCGACATTCGATACCACCAGCCTTTAGTTCTAGTCATGCACGGGTGTCTCATCCAGCTTCAATGTACCTTTCCCTACTATTTTTTTCATATGCTTAACATTCAAATATCTTCTACTGTGATATGTCAATTCAAATGATTTGATTATATTTAAGATTGGGTTATCTTCTAATTATAAATTTCTAGCAGAGTTTCTTATATATGGAGAATGCAATTCCTCTGTTTTGTATGCATACTGAAAATATTTTTTCCCCAGTCCACGGCCTGCTTCTTTGTTTTCTTAATGGTATCTTTAGAAGAGAAGAAATTCTCAGTTTTGATGTACTGAAAAGTTCTGTTCTGATAAGCTGACTATATCATCTATTTTTGTGTCCTGAACACATAATTCACAAAAAAATGGACATGGCTAACTTACACAGGAAAAATACTTATTCTCTGTAATTTTCAAAGAAGTATTGATTCCACTTATAGGTATTTATTCTCCATATATATTTCTGCACACATTAAATTCTCTCATATATCTATGAAAGTTATTCACTGTAGCAAACGACTGCAAACAGTCAAAAAATCCAACAATAAAGGACCCTTTTCAAAAAAAATGTGCAGGCGACAGAGTAAAAGATCATAAACAGCCATAAAGGAGAATAAAGTAAGTCATTATACTTTATGGAAAGTTCTTCAAAATTTACTGTTGAAAGTCAACAAAAGCAAGCTGTAAAACTGTAGTTATGTTTTAAAACTTTTTGTTCAAAAAAATATATATCTGCTGGAGCACCTGGGCTAGAGGGAGCCTTCACACTGTTTTTTATGTATCTTAAAATTTAAAGAATGGGAATGTATTATCTAGTTGGCAAACTGAAGTTAATAAAAAAAAGATTAGTTCTCTTAAAAAATTTTAAAGTATTAATTAAAATAATTAGCCATTTTTATCTATTAATTATTACTGTTACTACTGTTATTATTTCTTCCAGGGCTGGTAATAAAAAACTCTACCATGGAATACAAACAATAATATTACTAGCATATTTAATCCTCATGAAAATTATGTTTTGATACAGTAATTCTTTTTTTAATCTGTCTTAAGAAAAGAATCAACAATACAGACAGACCTATTGTAGTATTCAACTTTGGTGTAACCACTGTGGAAAGGTTAAAAAAAAAGAAAAAGAAAAAAATTATAAAAAATAAATTTAAATATAAATACAATTCTCTCTATATACCTTTTATTCTCTTTAATCATCCATGTACTGCTTTCTTGATCAATAGATGAATAGAGATTTCCTTCCAAAAACCTCTGACCCTTCAGCACAATGTTGATGTGATCAGGCAAAAACTGTACTTGAATGTCCTCCTTAGAAATGCCTTCTGGAAGCTGTATTGTTACTGTCAAATCATCTTCAGTCTGTTGCCAGTAATACAGAGGTTCTATTGGGAAAAGGAAAATACATTACGTAATAAAAAAGTGGAGACCAGAACACACGAAATGAGAGACCAGAGCATACAAAAGAACACCTATCTAAAGGAAATCTTGGCGTAATTTCTAGTGATCTTCTCACCAAAAAAAGAAAAAAAGTAATTATAAACAAAAACATACAGATCTTTTAGGGAATTTTCAGAGTTATAACTGCACTTGACATTTCTTTTTCTAGGCTTACCTAATGCTCCAGGATGGAAGCACTCATAAAACACTAATGATAGCAATCTTTATCCCCATTCATTCTCTCCCTGCCTCCCAGTTTCCCCCTTTACTCCTTCTTCCTCTTTACACACACAGCAGATGCCTACTTCAAAAGAGTAACAAATCTGTCATAAACCACGGTCTGAAACTTTCACCACTGCTTTAACTGGCCCTAACAATGTAACTCTGTGGTAAAGGAGACCACTATTATTTGGTGAGATACACACCAACATAAAAATAAAAGATATATATATTTATAAATTCTACTCCACAACTTTGTTGCATGAAAGCAACTTCACAGGAAATTCGAGGGCTGCCAGTATATTTTGTCCAAGCTCCCAATAAAAGAATTCTCTCTTTATCTTCTTCTTGATTTCCTTGGCTTGTCTTATAAAAAGCTTTAAACTCATCATGCTACAGGTTGAAATACCCATAGGATGAAATAAGAAAATAGGGCTTAAATGGAAAAAGAAAAATACTCGCTAGGAAATAAATAAATATTTGCTTAATGATATCCATAAACATTAATCTATCCACCCACTAATCAGAAAGAAATATAACATAGTGGTTAGGAACTAGTACTCTAGAGTTGATTAGTCCTAGGTCTTGAATCTTGGCTCAACCACTTATTAATCTTGGTATGCAATTTTATCTATGACCCTCTTTTTCCTAATCTGTAAAATAAGGTAACAAAATATTACATTTTCTCACAGAACTGTTAAAATTAAAATGAGTTAATGCATATAAAATATTTAATATCAATCCTATTATTAAATATATTATAAACTCTCAGTAAATAAGGGTTATGATTCTTTTCTGAGGGGGTTATCATTCTTTTTATTTTTGTGCTATTTTGTGTAAAAACTTTGTAAGTACTAGCTATGCTCAAAGATATAGAAAGTATGATGTATCTTCTTAAAAGATCACTTCTATTTGATGTTAAATGAAATTTAATAAGCATATTACAGGAATAAGTATAAAAAATGCATAAATTTTTAGTATAAAATTGTCCTTTGGATTAATTTCTAACTTGCACCATATTCCTTTAAGCAGGCTCTCAGATCCTCTCTCTTAATCTCTTTAGAAGTACTTTTAATATAAATTCACTGAAAAAGTTTGAACTATACCTTAAAAGATTGAGAACTATAAGCACCTTAAGACAAGTCATCTGTTTTACTCAATTTTCTGTCTACCACAAAAGTTAACAAGGCAATTTATATGTAACAATGATTCAATGGGTACCTTCTGCAAGATATGGAAAGGGGAGGAGTCTGCAAAATCACATGGGCTTCTAGTAAAACTTAAATTCCATGGAAGTAAACTAAATGGAAAGCCAGAATTTTTTAATCCTTTCTCCACTAAAAGGTATACAAACAACTAAATTTTCTCAATTGTTGGTTGCTAAATGCCTATGTTTTTGGAAATGTTTTAAGTCTTTTCTAAGAAAATGCTATTATTTATATCATTATGACAACACCAAATGGGCAACAGACAATATCAGTCTTCTTGAGGTTTACAGAAACCCATATACATTCTCAGAAGATTTAAAAGAATGCTATAATTAACAAATTATCCATAATTTTTTAAAAAATTACATTTTTACTTTATAGGTAAAGGCTGTTTATTAGAAGAGAAACAAAAATACAGGGGATTTAAAGTTCACACTAAAAGGGAAGGGAAGACATAATAATGAATTCAGGAGGAAATCAAAATATAATGTGAGATGTCAACAAGAAAAACAACACCTAAATTGGTAGCGATGATTTAAACAGATGTTGTGTCCATCCCAGGCTACAATCTCTCTTGGAACCACATGGTGTCAGGTATGAGGCTGAATGCTTCCAAAGACTAGGGAATTCTTTCATTTCCTTTGCAGTTGCTCCCTAGAGTTCTAGGGGCATGTGGTCTGGAGATATGAATAGATGTTCTGGCTAAGTTCTAGAAGAGTTTTAACATTATAATTAAGACAGAAGAGTAGAATTTATTCAGAAAGGGATCTTAGAGATAATCTAACATAAAACATATCACATGGGAAACCAAGTTGTTAAAAGGCTAAATAAAAGGTCATCAAGCACAACTCTCATATTCAAACGTGCATATATTTATAAACCTGTGGTAAATATTTTTAAAACATTTATTACATTATTGTCTTCAAATATTTTTCAATGAATTTTTTGTTTAGAAAGCTCTAAGTATAGTGAAACTAATTTTTATTTTATATAATTAACAAAAAAGGGACACTCAAAGATGTATAATTGTTAAATACTGTGAAAATCTCAAGTAAAATACACTATTCTCTGGTTATAAACATCAGAATTATGAATAGTAATAGTTACAGGATGATGTTCTCTTGAATATAAGAGTATACAGTCTTCATATATAAATATAAATTTTAAAGACCTTACTGCTGTCTTCATTCTAAAACACTACCTTCATCCATTTATCCATTTAACAGTGGGAAAACTCAGTGATTCTGCCCGCAGAACTTTTTTTAGCTTAGTACTAAAAGTTAAAAACATCTACATTAGTATACACCTATAATCAACAGTTAGCTTATTTTAAAAGATTAATATCTTCAATACTAATATGCTAGCTTCACAAACACCAATAACATAGAGACATTATTCACTTAATAAGGATTTACTAAACATCTCTTAAGGTAAGCTAAGGTACAGGTTTTTTAAAAACATTTTTGGTAATTATGAAATTACTGATTAAAACAATTCACACTATTTAGACAGTACATTTTACAAAAGACAATTCTGATAAATACAAAGGAAAATAAAGAAAAGTTAAGCACCTACTTAAGACAAACCAGACATAAACGTGTGTGTACATAAACACACAAGAGCTATATGAAGATGAACAGTAAAATTACCTTTGATTTTCTCAGACATGTTCTCATTCTTATTTTCTTCAAGATCTTGACCAACATGTACAAATGTGAAGGACTTGTAGGAGACAATCATCAGACCCTTCCCATCAGGCTCAATAGCAGCATAATGTGGCACTGACTTTCCACGGAGAATATCACGCTTAATGATTTCATATTTTTTATTATCTGTAAAAACAAAGTATTTTAGAACAAAAAATTAAAAAGACACCATATTATAAAAATATCCTGAAAAAATTTGCATATTAGTTACAATTAAAAAAATTTTTTTTAATGTTTATTTTTGAGACAGAGCATGAGCGGGGGAGGGGCAGAGGGCAAAGGAGACAGAATCCCAAGCAGGCTCCAGGCTCTGGGCGGTCAGCACTGAGCCCAGTGCAGGTGGGGCTCAAACTCTGGGACATGGAGATCATGACCTGAGCCTAAGTCAGATGCTTAACCAACTGAGCAACCCAGGTTGCCCCTAAAATTAAGTATTTTAAGTGTACTACTAAAAGGCATGCTATCAAGAGTCTTATATGGCTAAAAAATTTTTATAACTAATTTTCTATAAATTCACCCCTACTTTAAAATACTAGATCTGATGAAATCCGCCCTAGATTGTGCTTTTCAATGTGGTAGCTACTGGCCATAGTGGCTATTTAATCAAAATTAAGTAAAATTTAAAATTCAATTCCTCAGTCACATTAGCCACATTTAAAATGTTCTATAGCCATGCATGGGTAGCTGCTACTGTATTAAATGGCACACATATAAAACATGTCCGTTTTGTAGAAATTTCCATTGAATACCAGTGCTCTAGACTGACTTACCTAAATATCAGCTTCTGAAGGATCTACCTTTTCCTTTACTATAGCCTTACTACTTCTCCAGCAGGTACACGATAGGCAACTTTTGTAAAGAGCCACAAATGAAGTATAAAGGAAAGGTATGGTGTGACCTATTTTTCTGCTCATTCTAGTTATTTAAAGGGGTTTCCTTAAAATGAAATGTTTATGGTAGAAATGATTCAGATCTATATGCCTAATGAATCAGGCATAAATAATGATAATTTTTAAAAACATGTTTATTTATTAGAAAGCACACATGCGTACTCGCAGGGGAGGGGCAGAGAGAAAGGGAGAAAGAACCCAAGCAGGCTCCGCACTGACGGCACAGAGCCCAATGCAGGGCTCAAACTTGTGAACTGTGAGATCACGACCTGAGACGAAATCAACAGTTAAGTCAGACACTTAACCCAGGTGCCACAATACTTGATTTTAAGATACAAATTTAAAATATGAGATATAAAGAAAAGATATAAAATTAACTGTATAATGAAAGTTACTGGTAAAATAATTGAATTTATTCTTGAAAATAGGTTTGGTGGGTTTAAAAAAATTTTTTTTAATGTTTTATTTATTTCTGAGAGAGAGAGAGAGAGAGAGAGAATGAGAGAGAGAAGAAGCGTGAGCAGGGGACGGTCAGAGAAAGCGGGAGACACAGAATCTGAAGCAGGCTCCAGGCTCTGAGCTAGCTGTCAGCACAGAGCCTGATGCGGAGCTTGAACCTATGAATCGTGAGATCATGACCTGAGCCGAAGTCAGATGCTTAACCAACTGAGGCACCCAGGTGCCCCAAGGTGGGGTTTTTTTTGTTTGTTTGTTTGTTTGTTTTGGATCCTTATCTTTAATTACACTGTTACTCTTTTGGAGTTAAACTTTAACAAGCTTCACCCTGAGTAGTCAAAAATTATAACCCAATGTCACATATTATACATAATGATACAATGTTTTATTTACTTATTTATTTAATGTTTTATTTATTTCTGAGAGAAAGAGAGAGGGAGAGCGTGAGCAGGGGAAGGTCAGAGAGAGAAGGAGACATAGAATCCGAAATAGGCTCCAGGCTCTGAGCTGGCTGTCAGCACAGAGCCCAACATGGGGCTAGAACCCACGAACCACAAGATCATGATCTGAGTCGAAGTCGGACGCTTAACCGACTGAGACACTCAGGCGCCCCTGATACAATCTGTTTTAAATAGATGTTCTTGTTTTCCTCTAAATCTTCACCTACTTTCACCTTCATTTCACACATATTTAAGAAAAGACTTGTAAATTTACGAATGAACTAAAAATTCCTATGCTTCCTACACAGGTACCTGTAAGGGAAAGAGTCCTACCTGATTTCAAACACCCAGACTTAGATACCACATGGCTTACAGGGTGGCTTTTCCCAACATGAGTGCAACAGAAAATAACGTGTGGATTTCAAATGAACTCCATGATTAGATAAGCTGGGAAATACTTGATTAAAATTAAGTTGTCTTTTTGTTTTTACTCAAAACTTTTATAATCTTTAACATGCTCAGTGTGTAAAAGGGATATTATATTATTATATGCCCATATTTTCAAATTTATTTAACTATAAAACATAATTTATCAAATGTTCTATATAACACAGTTTAGAAAAGCACTGCTGTTATGTTCATTAAAAAAAAGAAAAAGAATAACAATTATATAAATAATACTTAAGGGGATGAAAGGAATGAGACATTAAGAAATGAAATGAGAGAGCCTGTAAAATTGGCTCAATTCGTTAAGCATCCACCTTTGGCTCAGGTCGCGATGTCATGGTTCAGTTTGAGCCCCTCATTAGGCTCTGCTATCAGCATAGAGCCTGCTTCGTATCCTTTGTCTCCCTCTCTCTCTCCCACTCAAACTTTCTCTCATTCTCTCAAAAACAAACAAACAAACAAAAAAAAACCCACATGGAGGTTAGGGACACAGATCCCCCACGCAGCCAAAAATCTGCCTATAACTTTTGACTCCCACTTAACTATTAATAGTGTACTGTTGACTGAAAGCTTTACTGATAATAAAAACAGTCAATTAACATATACTTTGCATATATATTATATACTGTATTGTTAAAAATAAGCTAGAAGAAAGAAAGCGTTATTCAGGAAATTGTAAGGAAGGGAAAATACATTTACAGTACTGTCCTGTATCAAAATATCAAATATCAAAAATATCCATGTACACGTGGACTTGAACTATACAGTTTAAACTATACAATTTAAACTAAACCTGTTGTTCAAGGGTCAACTGTAATTTAAGGTTCTTATGAACCTTCTTTAACTTATGTTAAATAAGTTAATAAAAACTTAGAAAAAGGGCAGAGTCACGGAAACAAGCTCCCTTAGTTTTCAACAACAGTAAGAATGAAGCACTGGTGAAGGGCAAGGCCAAACCATTATAGGAATCCTACTCAATAAAGTGAAGAATAATTTCTGATGTCCAAGTTAGAAGTCTGATAGACAGTTTCAAACAGCCCAAGAGTCGAGACTTTCTACACTGCTAGAAGAAGCACTCTGGGTCAGAAAAACCAGCACTTTTCCTGAAGGTAGAAATGAACAGCAAAGTTCAATTAGATTTAAAAGACATCACAACTGTGATTTAAGGAAATAAAGGATTTGTTTCCATCTAGGTATTTATATTTAATTTCTCCTTCAATTACACTGTATTTTAACTTAAATTTAATTATATACGTAAATCCTTATGTATGATATACATACACATAAGAATATATGTGTATAGTCTTGTATATACTGAAAATATACACTTTAAATTCTTCCACAATTATGTAAGAATGTCTCCTTTTATACAAAAAGGCATACCTGACTGTGGAAGTTATTGTTTCTATAACCCGTATCTGGGGAAAAACTATCTATAGGAATTCATTCCACTAGATGTCGGGTATTAGAATCACAGCAACAACACCTATGAAAAAGCACACAGCATTTACAGGAACAGCTTTGCATTTCAAAAACTACTAAATGGCACCAACCACTTGTGGATTCACACTGTGGGTATATTTTACCTTTATTTTTCTTGCTGATAGTGACCCATTCCAAAGAAACGTAGAATCCACTTCCTTTCATATCCAATTCTTCTTTCTCTATTCGAAGAAGTAAGGTAGTTATTGAATGTTCTTCAGTATTCATCAATGAGATACTGTGAATTATGATAAAAGGATTCCCAAGCTCTTCATTAAACATAATCTACAAATAAAAAAAAATACACATACCCATAAATGTACAAATGCAGGTGGCACATCAGAGGTTATGTACAAAATACTGACAATATAACAACTAATTGGATACTATTTATTACAAGGAGTAGAAAAATGCAATAGCCTTTAAATAAAGATGACAAGTTCAACTAATATTCTCTGAAAAAGAACTTTTTAAAGACGCTGTCTTTCTCTGTTTAACAGAGAAAACTGGCCAGTACTCTTGGCTTAGAAACAAGAAAAACAATAAGGCATCCAAACAGTATGAAAAGGAGAAAGAGAACTAGAAGTGACCTCCTGGAAAAGAATTATCAAGTTACAGAGCTCTACAGAAGAGGAGCAGGTCAACGCTGGTCCGGTCCCCTCATCTCTTCTATCTCGTATATGATTTGGTTTTGCTTTGTTTCTCTTAGTTTCTGAGTATCGTGCATGTTTGTGTGCAGGTGTGTGCATGTATGTTTTTTTCTATTGTTTTGTTTTGGTTTGTTCTTCTGTTTGTCCCTGGAAGTCTGCAAAGGACAGAGGCAAAGGAATTGGAGAACACATCACTAAAACTCTAATCTCTCTAAAACGAAAGAGCCTATTTACATTTAAAGGTTAAAATTTTTAAAAAGTTGTAATTCAGCAAACTCTATTTAAATAGAATACTGAAGTTTCTTTTTAAAGAGCAAATTTAGGCATCACAAAATCTTAAATTCTTTTTATATCACAAGCACATGATCTAAAAGACTATATATTTATTTAAGAGTAAATAATAAGAGACATTTTAAGACTGTCGGCTAAGCAAGATTTTCAAATAAACAGCTGAAAGAAACGTTCAAATGACAAAAGTTAGTTTTTAGAAAAAAACCAAAAAACCTTTTTCTGGGGGTAAAAAACACACACAAAAAATGCCCCTTTTATCCAGAATCTCTTCCTATGTGTTCCTACTTGAAAGCCTTATAAAGAAAAGTGTGCTTTAATGCCAATTTCCCTAAATGTTTGAGCACCTCTTCCCAAATTATTCCAACAGTAGACCTTTGGAATCCATTCTACGGTCTTGCATAAACAGAAAACAGCAATAACAAGAAAAAATACATCAAATACTCAAAACTGAGATGATAAAGGTAAGTTTTAGTTGGCTGACGTTGGGAGACAAAAAGGAGAAAGGAAAGAAAAATGATAAGCTTTGTCAGGTACAAATAGCTAGTACAAATAGCTGCTTCCTCCTCTTCTCTCTCTCAGCTGAGTGAAAAGGATGGAATGAGACCATGGAGTGGATGTCTAAACTTTTATAAACGGTTAGGCTGAAAGTTCCTATCTCCTGAACAAGCCTAGCAACTCAAATGTGGTACTGCTGATACACAGCACCCCGTCACACTAGAGGCAACACATCTGTAAAGTAGGCAGTCTTCCTGTCTCCTTTATTTCTCTTCCTACACTTCATTCATCACGGCCCCTACTTGGCCCCCGTATGCTCTACTGGACCCCTAACCACTCGCACCTTTAGATTCCTCTCTGTTACACCAATTTCCCCAAAGTCAAACTCTCCTAAGTTGCTTCTCTTAAAGTGACCAGTATTCCACAGTATCCCTCCCACCTTGGTGAACGCCCAGGTCCAATCCCTGTCCCAGTCTCTCTTCCCAGGCCCAGTTAAAACTATTACTCACTACAAACATCTCAGAGGGTGCTTATTTCATTATAGCAGTGTATACTGAAGAGGGCAGGAAGCAGATTTAAGTTTCTGATTTAGAAAATATTACTAAAAACTAATATACACCAAGGGGATGCACATAGTAGAAACCAAATGAATTATAAACCCATATAAATTTCCTTCTGGCAGAGTATGTGGTGTTATTTTTAAGCTGAAGGTGAGCTCGGTCAGTGTGTCTCTTCCTGCTCAAAACCAACAGAATCCACAGCTTGATAATAGTAAGTTCTCATTCATATCTCTCCTGCCCATCACTTTCCAAACTCCAAGTGTTTCAGGTAGCTATGCTATATATACCACATTGCCTCAGTTAAAAAAAAAAAAAAAGAAAAGAAAAAAGGAAATAAAAAAAAATTTTAACACTGGAGGCCAATTAGAAAATGTCACAGTGTCCAATGAATATTTGAATCTGCGACTACCAGGGCCTACAAAGTTCCCTTCTAAACAGGCTATCATTGTTCTGGTTATTTATCATGTTTTTTGTTTAGTTTTTTGAATTACTACAATTTGGTAGTATGCCATTTAATATAACTTAGGAAGGTAAGCCATTTGGTTCTAAGGCCTTCTTGGTTTTTCTCAACTAATTAAAGCCAGATCTTTGTAGGTATCTGATCTGCTAAAAATATTTTATAAGATATAAATCTATTTATTAAGTTCTTATTTGTTTACCCAGAACTAAAGGCCACCTTCTAAGATTTAGACAGTAGAAGTATCACCATATATTTATTAGTATAACTCCGTGTCATTCTTTCCTACCTTCAAAAACTGTGACACTAGAGAAATTAATTCCTTACTTATTATTATTAAAATCCTAATTTGCCCATAAGATTTAAAAATATTACATTGTTGGGGTACCTGGGTGGCTCAGTCACTTAAGCGTCCAGCTTTGGCTCAGGTCATGATCTCATGGTTCGTGAGTTTGAACCCTGCATTGGGCTCTGCTGACAGCTAGGAGACTGGGGCCTGCTTCAGATTCTGTGTCGTCTTCTCTCTCTCCCTGTCCCTCCCTCATTCATGCTGTCTCACTGTCTCTCAAAAAAACTTAAAATTTTTTTTTTAAAATGTTACATTGCTTTAAGAAAACTGAAATAGGGATACCTGGGTGGCTCAGTAGGCTAAGCATCTTGACTCCAGCTCAGTTCATGATATCACAGTTCATGAGTCCGAGCCCTGCCTGCTTCAGATCCTCTGTCCCCCCCATTCTCTGCCCCCCCACCACTGGCACGCACTCGCTCGCTCTCTCAAAAATAAACAAACATTTAAAGAAAAGAAAAAAGAAAACTGAAATAAAAAGAATATCTTAGAGATCGGCACATCAGTATATGTGTGTTACAGTGTATTTTTCTTTAAAAAAATTTTTTTTAATGTTTTATTTATTTCTGAGAGAGACAGAGAGAGACACAGAGAGAGAGAGAGAGACAGAGAGACATGGCATGAGCACGGGAGGGGCAGAGAGAGGGAGACACAGAATCTGAAACAGGCTCCAGGCTCTGAGCTGGCTGTCAACACAGAGCTTGATATGGGGCTCAAACCCATGAACCGTGAGATCATGACCTGAGCTGAAGTCCGATGCTTAACCAACTGAGCCACCCAGGTGCCCCTACAGTGTATTCTTCTCAGTGAGGAATACTCTGGTCAACTCACTGTTTGACCAATGGCAACTCACTAGACAGGTAGCAGGGTGGTACTGCAGAAGTGTGCTGGGCCCATAAAGATACCAGCAAATATCACATGAGTTAAGGACGAAAGATACCCCAGTGTAATTTCTGGCTAACTCTTCTTCAAGAAGGAGGTAATATCAATGCTTAGGGTACTGCTTTACACACATATAAAGCAGTTAACAAACATTCGCTGAAAAAATGAATGCAATTCCTGACAACCTGCAACGACCCCTGATCAAACCAGAAATGGTTAACACATCAGTTTTGTAAAAGGTACATACTACATAATTAAAAACTTCAAAAACATTATATATTATAAAAACAAAGAGGTGACATATAAACTATGCCCAGAAACTATTATTTCAAAATCACTAAGGTCTGTATCATATATACTTTCCAGACTTTGCATAATTCTTAAAAAGAAGTATGTAACAAAAACCGCACCTCCCATTTCTCAGAAGCACTATTTCCACGTTCACCCGTACCAATGAGATACAATCGTCCAGTTCCATCTGATAAGGTAACCCAGGTAGAAGATGTGAAATGGATAGATGCACAAAGGCGATTGTCGTATGCTGTCAAGTCTGTGGGAAGTCGAAACACCTCTCGTGGTTTTCCTAAAGCAGTGTCCTAAAAAGAAGTCAAACATTATTAATGAATCCTCCCTTCCTTCTTCTTCATCCATATACGCATAGAATAAATACGTGCAGTGTAGTGGTTGGTCTCTCGTTTAAGAGAAGCTGCCTTAAAAAAAAAAAAAAAAAAAAAAGAGAAGCTGCCTAATTCCCCTCCCTCTGAGTATGAGCTGTACTACTGACTCACTTCTAATAAAATATGGCAGAAGTGACAGTATGTGACTTCTCAAACTTGGGTCATAGGTTCTTTCACATCTTCTATTTTGCTCTGTTGGACACACACGGGGAGGGCATAAAGGCTCCTGACCATAACCAACACCCAGTGAGCTAACTGTTTTGGGAGTTTCAGTCTTAGTCCAGCCTTGAGATCACTGCTCTCTGGGCTGACATCTTGGCTACAGCCTCATAAGACACATAGGAACCACCCAGCTAGGCCATTCTGATTTCTCACCCATAGAAGCTGTGTGAGATGACACACGTTTATTATTTCAAGTCTCTAAATGTTGAAGTAAGATACTACACACCAATAGTAATTATAGTAACATTATAGCAATCTGGTCATCATTCTTCTCTCTCTTTTTTTATTAAGTTTATTTATTTTTGAGAAAGAGCGAGCGAGCAACCGAGTACAGGGTGGAGAGAGGAGGAGACAGAGAATCCCAAGCAGGCTCCACACTGTCAGCACAGAGCCCCATGTGGGGCTCGAACTCAGGACCTATGAGATTATGACCTGAGCTGAAATCAAGAATCAGACTGAACGACCTAGGTGTCCCTCTTCATTCTTAAGTTTAGAGTTAATGACCAGAATTTTTAACTAATTGGAAATACTACATCAGATTCTAAATGCCTCCACAGACATCAGCCTACGGTACAAAAACACCACATTCGTACTATTAACAACTTAGGTTTCTGTCAACACATTTTTAGTGTATCTATATCCTTACAATTTAAAGCTGTAAGATGGCTCCATCATTAAAATGTTTTACAAGAAAATATATAAAAAGGCCTACATTTCTGGGGCACCTAAGTGGCTCAAACATCCAACTCTTGCCTTTGGTTCTCATCATGATCTCGTATTTAGTGAGATCAAGCCCTGCATGGGGCTCTGCACGAGCCTCCTTGGGATTCTTTCTCCTCTTCTCTTTGCCCCTCTCTTACTGGCATTCTCTCTCTCAAATAAATAAATAAACTTAAAACCAAAAGGTCTACATTTCAGGAAATAGACTTCATCTTATACATCAAAATGTACTCAACTCAATAATTTGTTGTTGTTAAAGCTTTAGTTTTCAGTTAACAAATTTCCCTACAGCCCCAAAACAATTTATGATTCATGTATTTTATTCTGTTCCTTTTAATTACTTAAATCTGTGTATATATTAACAAAATTTAAGTAAACCATACAAAATGTCCTTACTAGCCACAAGTTCTATAGTGACCTACTGTCTCTTTCTAAAGCATCCGGTTTGGTTTGCTTTGAAATGGGACCTTTCCTTCTTTTTGTATTTATAGTTTATTGGTTTACATAATACTGATTAAATAATGAAAATACAATGACAGCTGGCATAAGGATTTTAGAATGACCAAATCTGAGTATTAGTGATAAAAACTCCACTAGCAGAAACAGAATTGTTCTTAGCATATTAAGTACTGAGTGGCCTACTGGCAGTAAACATTAAGCTTACTCCGGTCTTCAGTCAGTATATTATATAGAAGGAATACAGAATATCAGTTACTGCAGTCACTCAGTTAAATGGAAGTCAATTAAGAGATATTTTACTGCAGGTTGATGCCTCTGTAGGCATTTAGAACATCACGTGGTATTTCCACTTAGTGAGAAATAAATGGAGTGGCCAACAAACGGTATCAGGATACTAGAGATCTTCCGGAAAAAATTACTCTCTCCCTGACAGCATGTACAAAAATATTCCACATTCCAAATAGATTAATAATCTAAGTGTTTTAAAGAAAAAGTAAAATAACTTTGTTAGAGGATTAATCATGTTTTAATCTCAGGGTGGAGAAAGTCTTCCTGTGAAAAATAATAGACATGTAGGAGACAGGGAGAAAAATAACACAGGATTAGTATCGACAGCATAAAGACTTAACAACTAGAAATACATGATTATTCAAAATGCTGAAAAGGAAAAAGAATAGAAAAACTATGGTTAACAAAATTAAGCAGGAAAAAGAAAATCACCTAATAGAAGCCCAATCCTCTAATAAATCCTTTCTAATATCTTCTTAGTGAAACACTATGTGGTTCTCCATGGTGTAGATTCTCTTCTATTGTAAAATATCATAAATACAACTTGTTCAACTACAGGTGAGTACCTGGCATCTCTGTCTGGAGAGCACTGGTGGAGGAATGGTTAATTGTAAAAATCCATCCTTTGGAATACCAAGCAACTGTTAAATATACTGAAGTGGATTTATAATACTGACATAAAAAGATCTCTAAAATAATAACTGGAAAAAAAAAGATGCAGAATATCTACAGTATGAATCCATAGTATATGTTAAAACAACTAAATGCTGTGGTATGACAGCACAGAGTAAGGTGTACACAGACATGCTGGGCTGTTAACAGTGTTTATTTACCAGTAGAAAGGAAGAAAAGATCAAAGGCCATAGCGCAACTGGCAGGCAGGGAGACTGAGGGTAAGGGAAACTCCTTTTTTGCTTTAGGTACATTGCTTGACTTTTTTTTTTTTTTTCCTCACACTCAGCAATTTATGTGTGATATAGGTAGTTTAAAAGATACTAATAGCATAAAATAAAATGGGAGTTCTTCCTTAATACAGTTGTTTCAAAGTAAAGGTTTCTAGTGGTCTCCACTACATGCCCTTCACTGCTACTAAACCAGTGAACCACTGTTAGGTAAAATACAGGGCTTAAACCTGTTAAATCACTATTCTTCATTTCATATACAATTACAAAGGTGGTTTTAAACCACTTTCTTTTAAATTTTTTTTTAATGTTTATTTATTTTTGAGAAAGAGAGAGAGAATGAATGGGGAAGTAGCAGAGAGAGAGGGGAACAGAGGATCCAAAGCAGGCTCCACAGTGACAGCACAGAGCCCAACACAGGGCTTGAACTCACAAACAGTAAGATCGTGAACAGAGCAGAAGTTGAACACTTAACCTACAGAACCACTCTAAAACCACTTTCTTTTAAATGTAAGGTTACACATAACTGAGATTCCTGGGAGTCTAGTTATCAGATAAATTATTTTGATACCAAATATAATGACTAAGACACTCAAAAATATAAATGTAAAGCTAAAATAAATTAAAATACAAAAGACACAGTATCTCCCTTACATAAGTTAAATGATAACCTTTTAATAAATAAGTGAAAGCAACCTGAATGTTCCTAATTTTTGAAATCTAAGGCCTAAAGGGCACATCTAATTTTAAATGGACTGTACGCAACAGAAATATTTTCTTCTGTAAATCTTAGAGTGTTAAATTATCTCTGAATAACTTCCATTGACAGTTTTACAAAGTGTCCTCATAATAATGCTTTATGATACTGGCATCTATAATGTCTTTGTCCCACCCAATAATTTTCTTCTGCGAGACCAAAAAAAAAAGCTTAATTTAACTATATTCAAAGCTGCTGAAAATAATTCTGCAGTAATATTTCACAGCTGAATTACAGAGGAATTACAATTTCATTGGTGAATGGAACATTTACTGAATGACTACATGTACAAGCATTATATGAAATAAGTGCTTTGACTTTTTGCCATCTCATTTAACTATTACAAAATCTTATGAAGTTGGTTTTTCTAAACAAATTATACCTAAGATCTCACTGCAGTTTCTGGAATATTCCCCTCCCCCTGCAAGAAAAGAACAAAACAAAACAAAAAGAAACAAAACATTATGAATGCAATTGCCATACTCAGTTGTTCTTCAGGCTAAAACATTATATAAAATTTTTAATTAAATTCCTGGGTAAGTAAAATGTAATTCAAAAATTATAATGTTAATATACTGTATATAAATGACATAGTAAATCATATATGAACTGTATTTATGAAAAACATCTCTAAACAGGAGATTGAAGGCCTCTTAGTTAACAGCTACGAAGATGAGGTTTTAACAGACAAGGCATTTTTCTAATGCATACATGTTTATAGAAAGCACTACCCAAGTTCAGAGAAAAATGGCCAGGCAAAATTAAGTAAGGGTGCCATTTACTAGTATTATTACACACTGACATTTAAAATTCTGCCCTTTTAAAAGGAAGTGATCTTTTCTGGAGAAAGGCTTTCATCACTAATAACGGTTAAGCTTATTTGAAAGAAAAACAAAACATCCTTTTTCCTTTTCCCTTTGTCGCTTTTTTTGGCTAATGCTTTAAGAAATGCTGTTTTATTAAGTGGAATTTGAATGAGTAATGTCTCTATATAACATAAAACTTTTAATAATTGATGAAGAACATATAGTTCAAATTGACTCCCTCCTCCCTTTTTATTTTTGTCTTCAAGAAGGTATATTTACCAGTTATTACTGGCTCCCTATTAATAAACGCAATTGTAAAAAATAAGGTAAGATGCAGGTCTACAGAATGCTAATCTACAGATACTGACATGCAATGAGCTAGGCTAACGAGCAGTTACAGCATGTCACTCAGCCCATGATATAGCCTCACATATGCTGGTTTCATACAGAATCCGCCAACTCTCCTCCAGTTTTAAGTGCAATTTAAAGAGGCATGCTTCTTTAGGAGAACAAAGTAGTTTTTCAGATAAATGGAAAAATAATGATCGACTGAATTCTCTAAATATTAAGAAATAAAATACATTACTTTAAAAGAAGTCCTAACACCTAATAAAATGACAACGTAAGAATTAAATTTTAAGAATCTTTTTTTTTTTTTTTTTGCTTTCCTAAGGCATTTTCTACTTTCTAAAGCACTTTTTCCTCCCATCTGGCATTTCTCTAAAATTAAGGACTGTAAACCCACAGATCACACTGACTGGGAAG